GCAATAAGTGGACATCAGTATGAGAATTAACCGAAACAGTGTGAAATCGTATGACTTCTGTTTGATCTAAAGTCCGTTTTAAAACATTTAATATTTTAACCATGCATATGAAATTAACCGTTATACTGGATTAACAAACCAGCGATGAGAACGACTTAATTCTTGCAGATTTGATATGGCTTTTAAAGCTAGTTCTTTCTGTAGTTATGCCGATTCGTATTTGGGATATCAGTTATCCGATCCATCTAGGCTGTGGATTAGAGCTTAGCAGTTTGGCAGCAAGATATGTGTGTTTGACGAGACGTTGCTTTGTTCTTCCGTTCTTGTTAGTAGATATATCGACTTTGAAGGGCAGCTATCTTTTCCATTGGAATGTTTCTTATGCATATTTCGCAGATTATGCCGGCCAAGTTGCCCATTAGTTTCCCTCAGCCGCTATAAGTAAAGGAGTGAAGGCGTGCGCAATTTGCCATGTAAATTCGGTGAAATGACACGTCTAAGTTTCGCCCTGATGATCCACTTCCAACAGCAGATCCAGAATTTTAAACCTCAAAGCCTAATTGCATGCAGAATATAATATTTTTCATGCTTTCAGTAATATTTGTACTAACCAACGTTGTGTGATTTGTGTTTCGTGAGCTACATAAACCGCTGGACTACATCATGCGCTCTCAGCCTGTTAGAAGTAATTCTCGTGAGGCTGCAGACTTGACGTACCTCAGTGCCTCAGGTGCCTCTGTCGAAATGTCTTTTCTGTCGAGAGTTCCGTGCCCTCTCTTCTTGATTTCATTCTACTGCGTGCCAGTTGAAACATTAACACTAATGAACGAAATCCGAAACGTATGGCCGCGTGTCGTAATCAGTCGTTCGTCGTTTTTGGAAAGCACTGTCTGGCAAGCAATACTTGACTCGCATGCGAGTCGAGTTCTGAAATCGTCTACAGTATTACGGTATTAAATCGAGGTCGGTGCCCCGTTCTTTTTCTCCTTTTTCTAGCACGTCGTTAACAACGTCTTCGTAGTAACAACGCTAATTATCGTGACGAAACGGATACGAACAGAGGGGGGCGTAGTTAGTTAATGAAGCGGACGTTGCCGACGGTTTCTCAAACCGGCGTTGTCCGGTCGAATTTTGCGACATGCTGTTCATCGTCCATCTGACTTTGGATCGTCTGTTCGTTAAAGCACGGTCGAAGTGCGGCTAGCCACTCAACCCGAAGAACGGTTGGGCGTTGGGCGTTTCGGCGCTGCTCTGGAAGCGCAGCCGTTCGCTGGTGCTGGCCGGCGTTGTTGCCTCTGAGGTAGTCGACTACCAACTGGCGGTCAGACTCCAACTAGTAGCTAAGCGCAGGCTGCACGGTCACTGTGAGCCCTGGTTTCATCTGAACTCCGGCGAGAATTGTCGCGAGGTCGCCGGACCTCCTCTTGATCACGGACTGGCGGATTCACGGTACGAGGCGTAAGAAAGGTTTGATTTTTTTCACACTGAACCATTGATGACGTAACGAAATTTGTATATCAGATTGTGGCTGATTTGTTGATTCATATCTGAGGGCACCGAAGAAAGCAGATGATCCAAACTTTTATTGCCAACACTATCGCGACACAGCGGCGCGGTAGAGAAGCGCACTGGCGATGACAAGTTTCACCATCGATTTTCATTGGTGTCCTCAACAGTGAACTAATAAATCAACTAGAGTTATGAAAGTGAGCTCAGAATCGAAAAAGTCATATCGTATTATTAGCAGGTCTTATACTCGAATATGACTCAATCGAAATCTGGTCGCTTTCGTCTTTTCGTGTTCGTTGACCGAACAGGTAGTGGGAATCTGCACTGCAGCGTAGGATCACAAGCGTTCGTTTTCTTATTTCCGCGATATTAACCACAGCTAAACCCTATCGTGCCTGGCGTTTAGGAGTCGTCTGATAGAAACACATTTGATATGATGGAAATGAGACACTTCACGGTTTGATGCCATCCGTGTTTGATGCAGTTATTGTCGTTATCGTTATTTCGCGGGGGTTGGAGGGGGGTCGGGTGGGTATGCATACAAGCTCTGGTTGTATTAGGTTAACGGTGTGCAACATGCAGGAAGTGATTCCTCGGAACACTTCATACGTTCACTACTTCTGAAAGGAACATGCTCCTTGTCGTGAACAGGTCTGCTTCTAGTAGATTTTGCCAGTTTTCAAAATTGCCTCCTCTTCTAAAATGGCCTTCATCGTCTCTCACATAAGAAAGTTCGTGTCACGTCTACTTTGTGAGCATTTTCTTCGAACCACTAAAGAAGCCCCTTTGTTAATTTCTTGAAAATCTTCATTAATCCGGCAGTTTTGAGTATGTGATACAACGGGACCTGCTCATGTAGCACTGCTGTTGGTTGTTCAGTCGATCATCTGGGGACCTGGGCACTGAAGGTGTTTCAAGGCCGTAATGAAAACGGAGAAGATCGCTGTTTTCAACTTGGTGTAGCTGCTTATCGTCGGACTACGACATACGTAATTCCGGCAACAACAGGCTTTAGCGGATTTGAATCCCAGATCTGTTAGCAGTGGTCCAGCGCACGAGTATAACTTGTTTGGCGAAAGTCCAAATCCAACCGTTATGTCATAGTGATGTTGCTAGTTGTAAGTCTTAACTTCTGCCGGCCTCGCGAAACATCTAAACCACAGGTTTATGCACTGGAGTGTGTTAACAGCGGTTACAGCATAGGAACATATTTGACTATTCTGTGAACAAGCTATTGCTCTGCTCAGTTCTATGCTGCGATATGCATTTACTACAACGAGTGTTCAAATGCAGTGGAACTATGGCTGGAGAAAATGTCCCCTAGACAACTGAATTCAAGTTTGATAAAGCAATGCACCCTAAAATTCGGTGACTGAAGGAGTAAAGCGTATGTTCAAATGTTGTGTTTTCTTCTGAGGGAAAACTGCCTTGCTTCATCATGCTGCTTCGATACTGAATATGTATAGTAGTCTCGCAATCTCTGGTTGGGATTCACAGGTCAAATCATGGGCAAATTCACCTGATCTAAATAGGAGGGCATATTTCAGCTCACATCACCAGTGCGTCGACTGGTTGTAATTCAGGTCAGACCCTCTTGGCCAGCACAGCAGCTAGATGGAACTGTCGTCTATTGGTGAATAAGAATTCATACACTTAGAAATAATCTTTCTCACCCTCCCTATATGGAATTTTCTATCCTTAAAGGGATCGCTGATACCTAATACCAGGATTAATTGTATGCACTAGATAAAGCCTGTTAATTGTGTAGACGAAGAAGTCTTTGATCGCATGCGTGTGGCTACTAGCGTCCTTACTCACGATACCATCCTCCTCACTCACAATGTTTGGCACAACTTTACTCAACTAATACTCAATATGCTCGCTTCTTCTCTCAGAGTTTCACCAAGGTTTCGCATCGCCATTTCTGACACAGTTAAGGTGTAATCATGCGATAACTGACCTCATTCGGTTTGATACTGGTCCGACATTTCTTAACTTCTTCATCGTTGTTCTTTATCTGATCTACACGCTGTTATGCGATTACGAGCTGCTTTCAGAACTACTGGACTACTGTGTATCTTGTTCACCTACACTGTTTGCTGAACAGCAGGCATCAGTATGATCCTATTTAACGAATAGTAAACTAAACCCATATTTCACTATTGCTAAACGATGATAGGAAATCAAAATTGCCCAGATTAATGGAGCTTGGCGTTGCCGAAATAATAACGTAAATTTACATGACACGTTGCTGGTCCTACCACACCTACGATACGGTATTGCTTCTCGTCGCAGGCTGATCCCAGTTTGATGGATATATTCA